TTGGAAGCTCTTGACGACTGATTAACTGTCAATAATTTAGTTTTCGATGTGTCTTGACGGCAATAATGAAACAAACAATTAAGGTCAACTGCAGTATATTTTTTACTGGAGCAGAAATTCGAAGAAGACTATCTGTCGTCATCAAATCATGAGAGAGAGTAGTTGCGTTGATTAAAGATATCAATGGGAAACCCGCAAGAGACGATCGGCGAAACCGTAAAAGGCGAGACCATATGAGGCTCTTGACACCCGAAAAGACCTCGCATTTCAGCGGACTAAATTCACTACACTGAAGAAGGATTTTGTGTGTTGAACCCTGTAGCAAATTTCAGGAGCCTCAAGCGACATCTCAGACTTGTACAATCAAACTGAAATGTTCCAAGTAATTTCTTACCCCACAACGACGTTAAATTGCTAGCGAAGATGCTAAATACTTTAAAATTACTATTTTCCACTGCATTTTCATACCAAGCTGATATACTATCCTTTACGGCGAACCTCAGAAAGCTCGGGTGAACCCTCAAACTTCTCCAACCAAACAAAATTCCAAGTATAAGTTCGCCTTGCATGACCCCACTAAAACATGGGTGGAACTTTGGATATCGCAAATTTTGTTTCTTCCAATACATTTGCGTATCACCTCAAAATGCATTCATCGTCTAGAAATAGACCTTTTTACTGAATCAACGTGAATATTTCCAGGAAAAAAGTAAAGAATATTTTTAAATACAAAGACGAGGTTAATCACTGAAGCAATGTAATTGGTATGGGAGGAATCCTTAGATTTTTCGACAATAAAACAAATTGGAATTGCTTCACTTCATCTCGTTAACAAGAACATTCGCGAATGAAGTTTGCCGACTCCGAATCTTTTTCCGTCGCTATTTGGCTTCTACGTGCAATTTTTAATGAGATGAATTCGCAAGAATGCTGAATGATGAATGTTAATACATCATAAAAAGAATTGATATGAGACAAATGAATGTGTCAAACAACAATGATATCGCACATGCTACTGATCAAACAGCAACAAATGAAAACTTTTTCAGAAACTGATGTTGAAACCATTAAGAGTTGTATCCCTCCGAATGTTTGATCCTCGAAAATCGTCGTTGTGTTCGAATTTAATCAAAAAGACGAGAAATTTGTCGCGAATAATGAATGATGCATGAAAAAGAGATATCGTCAGCAGTGGTGAATGACGCGAGAAGGAATAAATTAAATACAATCGACCTTTCGCAATCAAATGTTCAGTGAATTCATCATTGTTGGCACGGCGTACACACCATAAGAATAAATACTTCTTCCTTTAAAACAGAGAACAAATGTCTCATCCACTCTAATTTACACAGAAAACTTTTATTAACAATTTTCAACGCATAACAAAATTCACTGAGATTCTCAACAAAGATTTTTTAAAATTCGTTTCAGTGAGTTGTCACGATTTTGTGTGAATAACAATGAAAATAATCTATCCAATAATAAAAGATAAATTTTCAAATTAATCAATGATCACATAAAATGAATCGTCGCCTGAATCTCCTCCATTCCGACGGCTCCAAACTTTTAGTGGTTCGAAACGATGAAAATGAAACGAATTTTCTCAGCACCAATGAATGAATTCTGATTCAGCGTTCATTGTTCAACCCGTATATCTGCACAAGCCTCACTCCACAGCCGTATAATAGCTGATAATTAAAATTATTTGAAAATTTGCAGCTCTTTAATCGTCACCGCATTTCGTACACTTCTCGTTGTTGCTTTTGACCCTACAAATATCACGGAATAGCTGTCGATTCACTATGTCTCATTGAAGTGGCCATCCAAAAACAACCATCATTCAATCTCATATGGATCAATGTTTGCGAAAATAAGTTTATAAACTGCTCACTTTGATGAGTGGACTTATAGAGAAGATTTTCAGAAGTTCATCGCGAAGCATGATTACATTGCAATTCATGGAACAGATCATTCAAGTTTCATTGAGAGGGAAGTTGCCATAAAAAATTTATCGAACTCTATTCTGCATGCAAAAAAACATCTCTCTCTTCTCTTGCAGTTTCAAAAGGTAATTTCTAGGAGAGCATGTGGGAGAATAATCATCAAATGATACATTTTCATGCGCTGCTTCTGCAAGCGCTACACCTTCATCTCTTCTAAGACACTCGTTCAGTGTTGCACTCAAACGATCAGCAGACAAAGAAACCGATGAATCTGCCTTAAAATACAATGAAATATTCCAGTGATCATGCTGCGTCCAGTTGCTTGGTATATATCACGTTCCTGAGCTGAGCTTCGATTGCACACCACTGTATGTATCACTTAAACGATCTAATATGATCAAATTATTGATCATTCCATCGAAATTACTTTTCTCTATTGATTGTATAAAGCAGAAACTGTAATTTCATTGCGAACAAAATGATTTTGCACGTATTTTAAAGGTGAATCGTTCCAAAGATGCTCGGAGTGAATTTGTGCAGTGCAAGTCCAGAAGACATTGAATAATTTAGTTCACGGAAACAGATCAACTTATTGCAATGTGAGAAAAAGAAACGAGAACGGCAAAAAATACTTGCGTGGTAGAAGTTAATACTGCATGATTATACAATGGTTCATGTAATCGATTTTTAGAGTCGATCTCTTTTGCACGCTCGAGCACTCGCAAGACATAAGGTAGTTTGGAATGATCGTTCGACTCAGACGGTACCCTCTGCAATTATCAACTAATCAACAAAGGATCCCGAAATTGATTTAAGATGAAATTTAAAAATTACGATTCATTTACATTTGTTTAGTTCAATGACTTACAAGAGTGGCACTACTTAAGGTAGTTGCACAACGTTGAGAAAGAGTTTGATTATCTGCTAGCTCATTCAGTTCAGGCGATCTCGACATTTCGTGAAGTGTGCTGAAATTTGATTGTATCGCTATTAATAACATTTGATGATGAATCCACATTTGATGCGTTTTTTTTCTATGGAATGGTTCATCGTAGTGACCTGCCTTTTCGAACGTACAGAAATATTTTTCAGTTTGTTCACGAATTTTCAACTTCCAATTTGGTGGATCAAGAACGGTGCATGCGTATTCCAGCATTGCAACTCCAGTCCAGTTTCATTGCTTCAGAAAGTCCAGTAGATTAGAGATTACTTATCAGAAGTTCAAGAGAGCGAAAGTTCAGTTTTTAAAGCTGATAACTCAAACAAACAGATAGATTAGAAATGAAAGTATTGAAGAAATAGGCTAGATTTCCTTTACCTTCCACTTCGACTCACGCTACTGATTTTATTTCTGAGTCGAGTGATCAGATCTCTCGATATAATGATTGTTGGTTCTGGAGTGTCGTGACAATGTGGACCCAACTTGAAAATCAATTAATTACTTGCTTGAAAGCCAAACAAATGATCTGTTCGCACAAATTGCTTTTTTAGATACTCGGAAAATATTTCAAGAATTTGAAATTCACCGAAAGACAGTGAAGATTCTATGCGGAAACAATTTTAGACGCAGTTGAAGAACTAAGGAATGCGCATTTAATATTTTTTAACTAAATGACTGTTTTTTAAATTCATATCCCTTGACAGAGTTGAAACACATGTGACGAGATTAACAATTGCACTGTTGATCTCACTGTTTTATTGACTGAGGATAAAAAAAGGTAAATAATTTAAATCAAGGAATAACGATAAAGCAGAATGAATCGAAATTAACCAACAATTAAATAAATGAAACCAATTGCGGTATGGAAAATACCACACAACGCTGATGCCGAGATGAAACGACTTCGCAAAAAAGTTGATCCTTTTACAATCGTACATCCAAATTCGCTAAAGTTACAAAATCAACGAATAATCACCATAATGAAGATATTCACTCATCATTTTCTATTTCAACTCTAATGACTTATCAAGTGATTACTGATGCAGTCTTGATGTACACGGCCATTTTATTATTAACCAAATTAGTTCACAAGTAACACATGCATATTAGATTTCAAAGCTACTCCTCAAATGGAACTGAATACATTAAAGAGAAGTGAAATCACATAAATTCTCTTCAGCACATCGAAAATCAGTCAACTTAAAATGCGATAGCAAAACGATCGATTTCTACAGTCAGCTGTTGAGAACACCATCAATGAAGTATCAATCTGGCACAGTCAAGCTGTTGAATATGATGGGTAAATCATCAAGCTATTGAATATCAAAATGGATAATCAACGCATACCGGCATCTCTCGAAACGTGTGTCCCGTAAAGCAACGAACGCACTCGTCGTGAGTTCGGCAATTCCCATAAAGAGGACAAGTTGAGCAAACACAAACGAAAACCCTGAAGGTGAAATGTTGAAGACACGAATACAAAGTACCTGAGATTGCACTTCATGCAATTTTGCGCTTGCGAGTATGGATGAAAATCTGTGTGAAGCATCAGAGGTGTTAGATGGTAGTATGAGATTAAGAATTAAGAGCAATTTGACATAAATTGTGCCGATCAACTGAGTTGAATGAACGTAATTTAATTTAATTTCTACATAACAATTCCAGGATCAGGCTTACAAGTCGCAAATTTGTGGAATGCAAATGAAATTCAATTCGAAGAAACTCACAAGCATCATGTCCAGTGGCGAGAAGAATAAGTGCAACTGCGAGAATGAATAATTGAAAGATGAAAAGAACAAGAAATGGTGACGATGAATTGCCCTCGTCGGCCCAAAATTGTGTTATCATACTCAAAATTATTATCGAAACGCATATCTAAACATTCAATACGGGTTTAAACAGGTTTTTTCGACTTGAACCTTTGTGGTTTCATGTTCTTTTTTTAAATTGAAATCAAATTTCTCGAGGAACCCAGTAACTATTTATGACTAACTGTGTGACATAATTCCATAATTTAGCATGTTCGAAAATCAAGAAGGAATCAATATCACGAGAATATTCGGCAGAAAATGATCGCTTATTGATTTATGGCGCAAAAAATTGATCAGTGCTTCATTAGTTTTGGACTGAAACGTTCAACTTAATGTTTGAAATTTATGATTGCTTTGGCCATAATCGGAAACGATGAAATGAATGGTCATCATTTTACAAATGAAAGCAGATAGTTTGAGAAGATGTTATGAACCTGCATTATCGCATATGTTTCTACAATGCCGAACTTTTGCCCACTCTGAGTTCTGCTGTTGGTCGTTTTGGGCATTGACTGCTTCTGATGACTTCAATTTAATATTTCGTTTGAAGTGTTCATTTAACAGAAGAAAATTATCATTTGTGGTTTGAAGTTAGGAGAAAATGAAACAATTTTCGGATACTTTATCGATGAATGAAGGAAATGAACTGACCGTGAGTAGCCAGTTGCATTCTCAAATTGCACTCAATTTTCCATCATTTATGATAAATTTCAATTGATTGAATAATTTCAACCATAACAAAACGAAACGCATTGGTAAACAGCTGTGATTACTAATTGTAAGTAAAAAATAGATGAGTTTAATGAAGCCAAAATGACGATTCAAATGCAACTGACAAGTGTAAAAATAGTTGAAGGTGAGGTCAAAACAAATTCAGAGGAATGAATAAAATTTTAAGAAACTGAATGGCACATCATCATACCCTTTGTTGAACGCCTCTTCAACATCACACTGTATTTTCACCGACGACATAATTGCACCATTCGCTGAAATTATTACAAAATCTATTTCTGAGAAAAAAACCTATTTATTTCTGGCGCAATTCATACGAATGAAATAAGTTAATACACCACCTACTAATCATTTTATTAATGTGACCAATAATGCACTTGTCACGATGGGGGCATTCAACATCAATCAATATGAATAATAATCCTTTCAACGTCCCAAATAATCCTTGACTGATAATAATAACAACCAAACACAACCCGTTGATCACACTCACTCTGAGAAACACGTAAACTGGAGATGAAATGACTATGGAAGTATTTACGATGAGATTCAATGCAGAAGCGTTCAATGTCATATGTAGACGTTAACGCAAAATGAACTGAGAAATCTATTTATCACTGAACGATTCAGCAACTGATACAGACATATTCAATGAATGCCGTCAAGGGGAAGAGATTAGAAACTGCAATCGTCATAACAATACTGTGCGATGTCACAAGAACTGGAATTTATTATTGTGAATGATATCGAAAGAATAAAGAAATTAATAGAAACAATTTCGCGCAATGTTGAGCCTTTACGGTTCGCTCCCATTATCTGAATATAATAAAACAAACGCTTAAAAGGTTTTCAGTCAGCATAAACGTAAAAGCGTGCATAAAGCAGGATGTCCAAAGAAAACTATCCATCTGATGTGTCAAGCTTATATCATATCAAATTCAATTGTTACAGCACATTATTATCAACCTAAAAAATCTGACTGATGTGTCAAGAATAGTAATATTACAATGATAATGATAACAAAACGCCAGCAACTATCTGCATTAAGGCCATCATCAGGATACGACGAGTGTGTGCATATGATATACTATAAACAAACGCACTGAAAAGAATATCTTTATTCGCGAACCATTCACCGTGAGCACACATCTAAGAACGATTTCATTTGATGAACCATATTGTGAATTGCGTATGCTCCAAATATAAGTGCACGTTGCTGGCGAAGCACTTGTCTTGCACTGAAAATGATCGCAAATGCACTTCGATAAGGTTATTAGGCGTAAGAAGAAATCCTCTCTCATATGTTTGTTACAATGCGAAGCAGATCGACGTCAAAGCTAAACACGAATCATAACCAAAAAGACCAGTGTTACAGATGAGTGAGTACACACTCGAGATTTTGACATTAACCACTGGGCAATAAAAATATGAATCTGTAATTCACAAATCCGAATACACACTTCATTTTAGGAGACTATAAACTGAATAACTTAGAGATGAATGAGTTGTACAATTATGTCACCACTTTCAAAAAACGACCTCAAATTGAAGCAATTGTATTATATTTCACTGGTTTATTCAGCAACAACAATTCTAGTTCTTCTATTCCATAGTTGGTTTCTGTTGAAAATAATACCAACAACGCGAATAACATGACTCATCTGCATGGCATAAATTTGGCAATTATTTCAAGAAAATTTGTCTCACCATTTCGCAGTTGGAAAACGTTAAAAAAATAAATCATTTTCAAGTACGCTTAATATGGACAAAAAAGAAAACAGCATAGAATGCCTTTAAACAGATCAATGTTATTCACCAAACAATTTCATCAAGTTGCAATGGATCGTAGCAATACACAGTGAATATGCATCAAGCACAGTCGAACAATTAATGTGGCTGTACAATAATGTTTATGTGGTTTTAGACATATTGCAATCAATCTGAACAAACCATTTTATTGTTACCAACATCGCATGTATTTTACTACTATCAATCTAGAATCAACAGCACTTGATACAAATAATCATCGGCCCGTATACAAACGAATTAAATAACACCAACAACAAAAGAACTCAAGTGAATATTCAAATATTATTTCCTCGTGTGTATTTTAGTGACAAATAACAATAAAAAATTCGTTCTGAAACCGTTATAATAGTAACATCAATGACATTGGTACACCACGCGGGTTACGACAGTAGTGGCAATTGTCTATTGAATATTTCCGTGATCACGTTGCAATAGTTGTTGTATCTATTTTTAATTCATATTCTACCAGAAAATAGTCGATAAAAATTGAATAACGCAGAATGCAAATGAATCGCACAGAATCTTTTTCGTAAATCGACTCTCGCTTTGACTTCTTAATGGAGTCAAAGTCTTTGACTTAATGGAGTCTTTGACTTCTGTAACGATTTATCAATAAAGCGTGATGAAGTTGACTGACTTTCCGCTGAGTTTCAGCATATGCGCTTTACTAGCTCAATTCCAGTTGTAATTCAAGCTTTCGACAATCGATTATTTCAAACGGTCACATCGGGAGAGGACGATGGAAGAATGTTCGATTCTGGTCAGCGCTTTACAATTTAAAAAAACTGACACACTTCAGTGAAATAAATCGAGGGTGGCTCAATAAAAAAACAATTTGCTGAATTTGTCATGTCTTCCGATGATGGAGACATAACGTTGTTTACGTCAGCATTCCATACTTTCAATCTTTGACTCGCTGAACTTTGCTTTTTTAAGAAGCACTTCTACAAGCAATCGAATATTTTTCACTTAGAATTCGACGAGCTGAATTGCTCATCGTTACACTCAAGTTCACACAACAAAAATCACTCATCATTACAACTGTTGTTATCAGTACAACTGCGACTCTTCTAAAAGTGCACTTAATTCAAAACACTCGCAGTATCATTACGTCACTAATCAAATCTTTTCTGCAATCGATAAAAACAATCTCTCGATCATCATCATTTGTTGTCCTTATCTTCATTTATCCAACTCACAAATAAAAGCATTCACTCCGATGAACCTAAAACACTTTGCCATAAACCTCTTCACAGCACACTCAGTGAGTTCATTATGAATGTGTCAGTTCACTTCTATTTAATGAATTCTATTCGAAGTCGTGCATTATTATAGGAAAATCTTCAATTTTTTCCAGACAAGAAGGCTCCAACAGCTGACCACATTCAACGCCATGTTGACTTCAAAAGTTATCTTCTCCTAATGAAAAACAAACCCAAAGGTGTGCAGCTGTTTTTGATGGAATGCACGACACAGACCGCTCTCAAAACTGATCGAAATACGTAACGGAATCGATGCGGAAATAAAAATACATTCTCCCGTTGTCATAACTGAAAAAGGGGAAATGAACTGATTATGATAATGGGTGGATATTAGAAGAATAATCGAGATCAATGAATAATTGTGTTCGTTGGTTCATGCGAATAAATGGCAGCCTTTAGCGCTTTTAACATTATAGCTATTTGCAGCGAAAGTTGTACGGAAATTGCGAGAAAATAAAGTTGGAAACAAAATGAGAATTAGTTTGTTGATTGCAATGCGATAGCAATCGACATCATTTGTTGAGTGCATAAATATGATGCAATTCTTAGANATCATCAGCATACAACGCTATACTCGCTGTGCAAAGGTTTTTTTCGTATTTCAACAACTTTTTCTTGGAACATCCCTGAAATCATCGTATAGAATCAACTCTACTCATGCACTGAGAATCCGCATGAGTCAATATTTTTGGCCAGCAGTGAAAAATTTATTTGCATAAGACTTCGAGAATCTGCTCATCAGCCACGTGAGTACAGGACAATGTTATTTGCATGAATTGTTCGTATTATCTGAAGCGTTCTGGCGATGGTATCAAACACCGTAACGTTGACGGTACTCGAACGAATAAATATTTGCGTGTTCGCTGATTGTTGTCAACAAGACCACATACCAAACATTCCATTCAATTAATCAACACGCACCTGATAATGGACTATGGATTCACTGATGAAAATGTTTTGTAACAAATTTCAATTGAAATGATGGGTATTCGCTTTAGAATAGATCGAAAATGACATTAATGATCAATCATTCAAAATTGCATGCATTCACACTCCAACTGCAATGAAGATATTATAATTCGATCAATTGATTGGAATGAAATATCCGCAAAATTATGTCCACAAGAAGCCTCCAATTAAAACATCACGTTTATTTGCAATACAAATCCAATGGAATTTCATGCATGGTATCTGTTATTACGGTTCGAATCTGCAGTCGATATGTCTCCATTCC